GGGGTTGTTTGGCGCTTACTCTCTAGATCTCCGCCAGGCTATAAGATTTTCTTACTTCTCCCATAAGATTTACTCTACTGGGGTTAGGCAGTCGCATCACAAGGGCGACGATAGAGCTGGGAAATTGGGAGAAAAATGTTTTTTTTAAAGAGTCAAAAGTAAAATGAGAAATTTTGGGGGGTTTCATCGCATTATCTTCAACCAAGTCCAGTAACATCCCCAGTCAGATTTTGGGGGATAATAAAACTTTCCTCTTTTTGAAAGTGTCCACAAGAAAATGGATATCCAGTCTTAACATCTTTTTTTTTCTTTAAAAAAAATAATTAAATACAGATGTTTTTAGACCCTCACCAATACAACTTAGATCCTATAGGAGGCGAGCTTCCTACCCTGCCTGTCAGAGCCAACCCAAGCTGAGAGGGATACAACATTCCAGCAGATAGACCGAGACACTCGATTAAGATTTTCTTCCCACTTGGGAATAGAACTCAGGGTCTCCAGAGTGAGACAGCAAAGTGCCTAATCACTGCACCACAGACGCCAGTCCAGTCTGAACATTCTGCCGTGTAGCTGTAAAGGTTTTAAGCCCCCAATCAACTCAATAACCAAAATCTGTTTTCTTCGGTTACGCTCGGTTTTCAGTTTAGAGACCTTGCTCAACAGAAGAAAAAAACAGCGATTTTTACTTTCTCTCGGTTTACAGCCGGTTCTGAATTTCAAGCAGACTCAACCGTAGATTGTAAAGTGCACAGAGCTTGCTGTCAAGCAGAGATAAGCGTTATACAAACGCTATTCATTTACTGACCCCTTCGCTGCCTTAAGACATACCTAATACACCGAAAAAATGTGTAATTCCAAAATTCATTTGTGCCGTACACTGGACATAATGAAAGTTGGCAAAATTTGCCGTTCTTGGTTGCTCATAAAACATTACCGGTACATCGTATCATCTATCTGGCTCTAATTCTTCAGTACAGAGATTTAGCCACAAGCACAGTGTATTCAGGAGTAGAAAATGATGCACAGACCGGTACCAAATTTGCTTGTATCAGTTGCTAGTCTTGCAAGCCATCTATAAACATAAGTCTCGTGTTGTAGACAAAAGTGTGTTCTCGCAAAACGCAAACATCAAAACAACTTTAAAAAAGGCAGCAGATTTCACTTTTCGACTAGCAAGTTGTATGAAATTACAGGCAAGATTGAGACTATATGAAATGAGGAGAGTGAGGAAAGTGACACTATCAAAGCCCTGCGGGTCCCAAGAGGTCATGAGCAGGCTAAATATAGACGGGAGAATCCACTACCACTGAGACATGAGACCGCTGTCCTGGCTAACAAACTTAAAACTGACTGAAAATCAGAGCTGACGGTAGGAACCCAGCACACCCCCCAGCAATAAAGGGGTTAACAGCTCCCGTACATCGTACGTCCAACATTGTGTGCCAAGATGACGTCCTCCCGTACAATGTGCATCCTAAAATCCGCCGATTACGGCAATCGCGTGGACCTTACTATGTACACCGTACAGTTTTCTATAATAGCACTACAATAACTTTGAACGTCCTGCATAGCAATAATTGGGTACAGTAAAAGTAGGAAAAACCATACATCACCAAGGGGCTAATTAACCTTCACAAAATGAACACCTAAGAGCTCTCTATACTGGCTGCCTCTTGCTTCACACCGCTGGTGTCCTTGTCTGAGGTCACCGAGTATCCTTGTCGAACGCCATTGCTCTGCGGGAGGGATAAGCCCTGCGGCCGATGTTGGCGGAAAAGTAGCACACACTGTCGGAGAAGATCTGGGTCCCCCGATCCAGACGGATAGACGGCGCCTTGGTCGTACTTCTGAGGATGAAAATGCCACGTGAAGTGTCAGTCGAGCGTGTTTGTTTAGTTCCGTTTTAGCAAGAGTTTATCTGTACTTGCAACACAATTAGGTAATATAAGTGCCGAAGATAAGAGGCGTTACTAGAGAGTAACATACGCAAATAAAAAAAGGAGAGGAGATAAGGACGATAAATATTGGACAGGAAAGAAGGAACAAACCACACCATCAGAGCACTGGCAAACCATCTGCTACGGGTTCAATTGTTTAAATAAAGAGAACCACATCAATACAGTTGAATCTGTTCTAACAACCATCTGTCCGAACACCCGTAACAGACCAACTGAGCGTGTTTGTTCGTTAGTTTGTTAGGCTAAAAAGAAGCACATCAATTCACTTGAACACCGCCTGAACACCAGTAAAAGATCAACTGAGCATGTTTGTTCGTTTGTTTGGGTACAGAGAAGCACATCAATACCGTCCAAAATGCTCTAACAGCCATCTACGCAAAACAATCACCTGTACAAATGACCCCTTCTCACCCCCCGCCCCCCCCCTTCCCCCTTGCATTTGTAAAAATATTATCATGATACTCTCTAAGACGTCCACTTATAGAAGACAACCACTTTTCTTCTCGGCAATGGGCAGCCGTGTAGGACATTGGGCGGCCCTGTAGGACATTGGGCAGCTGTGTAGGACATTTATGATATTCCTACCCCACTCACCGGGTCAATCCGACACAACTGTCTGCGAACATCCAGGTCTTTGCGAGCGGTGAGAGCGCGTCGGAACAGGCCAACGTTGTCCAGCAGAGCAGACTTGTGCTGGGCCCTGGATTTGTACAGTCTGTGATAAGCCGACGTGCCACCGTAAAGTCTGAATTCTGGCTTCGCCACAGCCGTCAGGACTGCCGATTTGCCAGTTTTAACATTCGGCTTTTCCGAGGAGGTCGTCGATATCTGTTGGTCGGTTTTTTCCTCAGACGTGGACGACTGTGGTGGTTCAGAAGTCTGAACGTCCATTGCGGCGTCCGTATCGGGTTCGGATTTCACAACAGGGTTCAATGTTTTCTCCAGGTTTTCCTTTTTCACCTCGCCGGAAACGCTTTCTGGCGCTGTCGAAGACTCTTCCTTCTTCTCCACACTCGCTGCCAGTTCTGTAACAAAGCAAAGAAAGAATGGTTAATTTTAGTTTTGCATTTTGTAAGAGTTTTACAGCACTTGCAACACAATAAGGTCACATAAGTGCCGCAGACTAGAGGTGTTACAAGAGAGTAACATAAAATAGAAGGAGAGGAGATAAGGACAACAGACGTTTGATAGAAAAGAAGGAGCACCCGCCAACCACCCACTTGCTGAAGATTAGATGTGTTACTGGAAAGAGTAACAAACATAAAAAAGAAAGAGGGGAGATAAAGACAACAGAAGCTTTAGAGGAGAGAAGGAGCACACCACGTCAGATCCCCCATCCACAAATCTCCCACTCCACGCCGCGGCCCTCACCTTCAGACGCCCGGCTCTCGTCGTCGGCCATCTTGTCCAGCTGTCTCTGACAGGCGTCCTTGACCTGCACGTACAGGCCGTCGCCGGCGTAGGCCTGGGACAGCCCCAGCTCTCCGAACACGGCCGACGCCTTATAGCGCTGGAACACGGGGCCGGGCGGCGCGCGCGGTTTGGCCGCCGGCATCAGGGCCGCTAGGTCAATGTCCAAGATACTCACAATGGCTGCGGGGAGAGCAAGTACAGAGTGGTTTAGCTTTAGTAAGATATTTTTATACATAGAAGAGGGTTTTACGGCGCTCGCAACTGCATAAGGTCATATGAGCGCCAAGGGGTG